GGCTCTGCAACCATAGAACCAGCATGATGCCTTGTTGCACACCTTGAAACATGCATGAGGTCTCTAAACACCTTGGCAGCAGCCCACCATAGGCCCGGATCCTCCATCGCCAACACCCCCCAAATCCCAGTCACGACTCCCTGAATCTGAGATTGTCCCACGGCTTGAACGCCGACGTCCTAGCCCTAAACCCAAAGTCCAGAAGCTTGTTGGTGTGACACCCCCTGCTCCTCCCTAAGGAACGCCTCGACAAGTAGGTGCAAACAGGCATGGCTCGGATTTGGTTCCCTGATCAGCTTAATCCGGGCCCAAAGTCATCTTTTAGCATATCACTGAAATTTGACACTTGTCAGCAAGCCCAAAGCCTCATGCCCGAAATCCCTCGTTTCGCCTCCATGAGCCCAAAGGCAACTAGAAGGGGGATCCCTGACATGGACGCCAGATCCGTGTTCCTCTTACTCCTCAAAGGATCTCTTCATAAACGCAAAGGCGCGCGCCATCTCACAAGATCCTTCCTTATCCGTGAGGGTCCCTGAATATATGCTCATTATGCTCGCAGTCTAAAACCCTAAAACTCCCGAGTTCCCAAACTGCAAACTCTAAGCCCAGCTAAGCCCCAGACCTCGAGCCCCAAAGCCACAAAGTCTGAACCCCAAACCCTAAATCCAAAACCCCCAATTCCCAAAACGCTCCACCCTAAACCCTACAATCCCCCCAACCCCCAAGCTTCTACACTTCCCGAGCACCCGAAGCCCCGTAGCCGACCTCAGCTCCCAAGGACCGAGTCGAGACCAAAGGCTGGCTCGACCCTGCTCCCCTGCTGCCCATTTGATGGGGTTTACGGTTGAGGGGTTTTTGGAAGGAGTTGGTGGGGGCTGTTGGGGTTGTCTGGGGTCATAGAGTTTTTGGGGTTGGAGGGTTAAGAGGGATCCAGGATGTGGTTTTCAATACAAGATGGACTATTTGACCTGCGGGGGGTATTTTGGGGGACCTTCTTTCAGACAGTTAGTATTTTTGTTGGAGGGTTGGGATGACTTTTTTTGTTGTTCCCCTGGTCCTCTGGTCCGGAGGTCCTCAATTCTTTGGCCTCTGACGAGATTACAATTCCAGCATCTCGCAAGTTACAGCATGCAGTAAACGACCAATGGCATGACAACATTTTGAAATCTTTAGAGTTTGCAGAAAAGGTAAATTCCCATCTTGTAACGGAACCAAGCTGCTAAGAAGTTCCGTCAGAAGCGTGCAAGAAGCTACATGTTCTTATCTTCAGTCATGTTTTGCAAATGAAGGGGCTGCGACCCCCTCAACCCCCCGCAATTTTGGAATGCAGGCGCAATCATCAGAAATTCCCTGAAAGGTCCATGTTTTGCAAGTGGGTAGGGGCCGCACTCCACCGTGTTTTTTTTCTGGCACAATGCTTCGAGATCATGAGGTTTGCAAGATTAAGATAGTACATGTTCTGATATCATATGTTACATGTGTTTACCAGCGCTCGCAGCCTCCAGCGCACTCCCTGGGACACTGGGCAATGATGAAAACAGAATACTAAAAGTACGCAAATGCTGCATTGTGTGACGCTACCCAATGATGAGTTTTGCCACAGGCTTCGATTCCGCATACCAGCAAATGCCATGTTTACCAGCGTTTGCAGCCTCCAAGGACCCCTGGGACGCTGTGAGACAATGTAAATAGAATGCTAAATTATTCACATGCTGCATTTTAGAATACTTGCTGGCCCCGGCACCCGGCCCATAAAAACAGATGCCCAACATAAAAAGTGATTCCCAAACTAAGTATGGAGAGTTTGGACAACACTGAAGCTGTCATAAGTTTGTAACTCAAGAGCTCACGGCTAGTTATTTAGGTCAGTTTTTGCGGAATCCAGTCAAGCGAAATGCATCTAGCTGTCCTAAGTTGTCGATTTGCTTGCAACATGTTTCTTAGTCGTTTGCGGATAGCTTGTCGCCCTCGCTACTCACAAGAAGTAAACTCTTAAGTAGACGAGTGTAGGGGATCAAAAGGCACGAGCTAGTTTACGTGAGGTCTAGGGAACGTCATTCCGAAGCTGGCTTGCTCATGGAAGATCACCGTGGGCATAGCAAACATCCAATGGCATGCATGCCGGCACAGGCATCCAGCGTGTGCAACAAGAATCCGGAAACTCCCTGAACAGTTGCACGCTGGGTTTTTCATCCCATCTGCAAAGGAAAGAGCCTTCCTTTCTATGTTTAGGGGAGCACAAATCAGCATCCTGCGATACTTTGATTCCGCTTGTGTGTAGGGGCAGGGGGAACTTAATTTGGGGTCTTCAACTCATGTGTTCTTCTCAAGCATCGTAGTATGTCTTGAGGCAAGAAGAGGCGCCTCATTCGGGGACATATTGTTTTCCAGGATGAGGGAGCATCTAATCTGTTTCATGTTACTTCAACCCCAGCGAGAACAAGGTGGATTTGTGTTGCACGCCATGACGACGAAAAGACGCAAGAACAAAAGCCTATCTATCTTGGATATTCTTGCTGTTAACCCCATGCCCTATACTTCCTATTGTGAATGCTTGTGCAAGAACTCAGGCCGCCGAAGCCAGCGAAGAACGCCTTCCGCAACCAAAGGGACCGCAGTTTATCTTCATTCACTCTTTGCAACCATTGGCGATGTTTTCCCCCTCCTGCTTTCATCGTTCTCGGGCGAGGCTTCAGGATTCTCTTGTGTCTTGCTGGGGACGAAGAAGCCCGGCACCTGCATAGAGCCCCAGTGAAAATTTCCATACGAACGGGCAGAGATCAATTTAGGGGTTTCTTACGGAGATCTTGGAGTACTGGTACGCGGGGACCTCTGCCTTTCAGATTCAAACTTGCATTATGTTTATGATAGTGTTCAAAAACGATCTCCACCCAATCCTTGGCAAGGACCCTCCCAATCCCTAAAGCTCCATTCACATTCTGCGTATTCTTCATGAAGAAAAGCTGCACACCACAGTATGTCTTTCGCATTCAGAGCATCACAAAAAACAGAGGAAATTCTATTTGCAGACCGCAGCAAAGTGAAAGACGCCCCCGCAACAAGAATTGCAAAGTTACTTCACGCTGAGACGACAATTCACAAACATGGGCCTGGGCCACTCGCAGGAAGAGAGGATTCCAGATGACTTGCTGCTCGGCATGGGTTAGGAAACGCGCTCGCACCTTCCAGCTCACAATTTCATAGCATAACATGGCATAATTTCATAGCATAACATGGCAGGATCCTTTCTAGAGCCTCATGAGGCATGAGCTAGAATGAAATAGTAAAGTGTATGATATCGAAGTATGCCGTGTTCCCCAACTTTCCTGGTTTGTTTTGTAGTGTCCACGCTCCGTCACCGAACCAGGGCGGGCTTTGCAGCAGATCCTGGTTTCCCTCTCTCTCTCTCCCCATGTAAGGGCTTTGTTGGTCGGGCTTATTTGCGCACAATAACGAGCCCTGCAGACCCCAAGAACATGACGAGCAGTCCAGGTACCTGACGTATGCATCTTTTTCCTCCACCCTAACAGGCTGTGCACAGGGCCATCACCTGCATGGTCTCAGGTTTGGGGCTCAGGGCAATGGGGCTTTGGTAGGGTCAGTGCACACCTCGCAACGGCACCCAGACTACCAAGAAGTGAACCAGAATGAAGTGTTGTCAGAAATGATATTGGTACTCCGAAGCTACACTTGCATGAAACGGGATTAGGTCTGGTTAAGTAGGGTTTGGGGGCTTGCGGATGCGGACATGAGGCTTTCTGGAAAGGATAGGCCCTTTGGGGAGTGCCGCTCTTTGTGTACATGGGGGAACTAGATCTTTGGAAGCTGCCGGGACTACATCACATTCCCATCCTCTCATGACACCAAGGTGGAGGCTCACCTGGAGTTTTGTTTGGTATTATGCACAGCTCCTGTCCCTACAGTGCGTTTGGGTTCAGTTTAAAATGCGTGTCCCCATGTCCGTTACGAACTTATCCGTCCTTGGAAAACAGTAATGTAGAAGCCTGAATAGTTACAATGTTATCCCCTTAGATAATCCCGCTGAAATTGTAGCATAACATACCCTGAAACCCTATTCCAATCATTTAGGCCCATGCATACAATCGCTGTTTTGATCTCCTTTTCTGCCATTTTACTTTCCCAGGTCTTTCCCAGTTGATCCTCCATTATTCTAATTGCGCTTAATCAGGCTCCAACATCATAATATTGCATAGTTGTAGCACAGTATACCTCCAAACCCTGTGCTACCTAATCAGGCCCCAACATTAATCTGGGTTGCTGTTAAGTTACCATAATGGTATATATATATATACATACAGTAATTAGTATGGTTTCCCCAATATAGTAAAGGAAATAAAGTTCCTTAACAGCAACCCAGTAATTCCGGAAAGCTCCCAGTATTCTGCTGGAAACAAGGCATGTCTTACAGAGCTGCTTGGCTTGGCAGAACTTGCTTTCTGCCCATTTGAGTAATATTGGGGTTATATAGGGATATATTGGGATAATGGGAAATAGAATAGAAACTACACGGAGCAGGGTTTTGGAGCCTTTTGGGATTATGGGAAAAAGAATGGAAACTACACGGAGCAGGGTTTTGGAGCATATTGGGATAATGGGAAATAGAATGGAAACTGCACGGAGCAGGGTTTTGGAGCATAGGAGTTCATGGGTTGACAACCTTGCTAAGTTTTCACGTGCCATTTCTGGGAATGGGAGGGGGTGCTTTGGAGGACTCACACTTGTGGGGCTGGCAATTTGCAAGATTTCATCGAATCAGAAACCGAGGGGTGACCTCGGACTTCAACAACTGCCACGACATTGTCTAGCTCGTCAGCCTGTTTCGGAGGTCTGTGTGAAAAGGATGTCTGTGTCGACCTCTACGCTCTAAACCCTCAACCTTACATTTGCCCCTCAGGCGAGTACTCTCGTTCAATAGTGACACCGATGCTGTTGGAGGGGAATTTTGTGGGCATCTTGTAGGGAAGTTGAGGGTTCAGGGGATGTCCGAGGGGCGTGATTTGCAAGGTTACCGGGGACTTGCAGTTTTAAAGTTGGAGTTTGCAGAGTCGGGGGGTTTCCTGGATAGAACCTCCTACCAAAACGCCAAATGCCCAAAAAAGGTCGAACGCCAGACCCCTCCACTTCTAATCGTTGACCCCGCAAGCTCCATTATGAGAATGCCAACATCCCAGGCCCCCAGCCCCTATACCCTAAGCCCTTGAAGCCCTCCAAGCCCAGAACCCTTAGACCTACGCCCTCAATTCCAGCTATAATTCCCTAGAATCCTAATGAGTGTGGCTGAGGCCTGGTCTTCGACCTTCGCGAGACCAAGGCGCAGCAGGTCGTCTACGAGCTGGGCAGAAGGCACCAAGCGGGTTAGCAGTTTAAGGTTTAGGGGTGAAAAGGTTAACAGACCTAAACGTGCTGCAGTTTTTGGAGCTGAGGCTAGAGCGTTTAGAGTTGAAAGCTTAAAGACTTTTGTGTTCAAAGCCTTGCTTTTGGGAATTAAAGGGTGCTCAGGCAGGATGAAGTCACAGATGTCACAGTTTGAGAAGGGACTGCTCGCTGGCTTTTGTGCCGGGTTTCGCTCTGGGCCGTTCAGGTGCAGGATTCCACATCTGGACTGCTGTATGAGCACGCTCCCGAGAACCAACCCCGGCAACACCCCAAATCTGAGGATGGAATGCAATGGATGGATTGGAACGGAGCGGAATTGACTTTGCTGAGCCAGGGAACCGAAGAACAGTCAGTTTCCCAGACAATTTTGCTTCCACAAAGTGACTGCAGCATCAGATTTTGCCAGCAAGCGCAGCGAAACAATCATTCCAAAAACTTGTTGTTGGTCTGAAGGCTGCTGCTCTAATCCTCACAGACCACCCTTGCGAACATTCACAGAACTTGTTTAAAATGGTTGGGCAGCCTAATCTTGTCCCCGAAAGGCTCTCTACTCTCACCCGCTTTCCTCAAGTCAAGTGTGAACTTCAAGCATGAAACTTTCAACCTTAACCTTCCTTGACACCCCTGGAATGTCCATCCTCCCCCCATGCAGGATGGCGCAGCGGCGCATCTCTGAGCGCATCGATGATGTCAGGATCGATGACGAGGGCGCGGCTTGGCGGAGTGTGTAGCAACGCAGCAGCCCTTGTGCGCTTTCAGAAGGGATCCTGGGAACAGGAAGGTTTCTGTGAGGCTGTAGGGGTATGCTCATATGATTCATAGGTGGTCGGAGAGGGTTTTGGCTAAAGGAATCACAGATCAGGGATTAAGTGTCAGGGTTCGGAATTGAGCAACGACAAGGGACTTGAAATGCAACAAAGTTCTTACAAGGTTCTACAGTTGGGTAGACAACGTTGCATATGTTTTACATCGGGCAGTGCTGGGTTGTGAGGCTTGCGGATTGAAGAGGATAAAGGGCAGCACGCACAACTTCCAGGGACCTCCTGTTTTGGGCTTCGTGCGCAGGGTACGACATTGCTTTTGTTTTTTTCTCTCCCTCTATCTCTCTCTCTCTCTCTCTCTCTCTCTCTCTCTCTCTCTCTGTGCACGCTTAGGTCAGTCATTCACTCAGCCTGTACATGGCAAACAGTTGGAATTATGATAGACAAGTTGTTCCTACATGCATCTCTCTTCATTGCGTTTGTCAGGTGTTTGTTGGTTTGAGAGGTCTTCTGTAGGGGTTTCCGCGATCTCTGCGGATGTCAAGTTCGGAGGTTTCTTAGGACTTCATAAGGTCATTGTGCTGTTCTGTAGGGCTGGTACGATTCTTATTTGTTTGCACGACATCTCATGGATTCTTCATGGTTGAAGTCAAAGGGTTCTATCATTCTTGATGGCACGCCCCAGCTCTTCAAAGTCATGTTTTCGGATTCCTGAGTCTTCAGGCTTCAATCTTGAGATCTCCCATGACATCTAGAACTCCGTGGAAAGGTCGGGGTCTTTGTTTTAGAGATGGCAGAACGTGCGCCCTGCCAAGTGTGCTATTGCCACCGGAAGCCGAACAACAAGGCTTGGAGGCACTTCTCCTGAAGTGTAACTCCAAGCAGGAGCCCTCTTGCAAGCACCACCCAGTGTATGCCAGACTGCTCCACACACGGTGCATAATGCATCGTTAATTTTTGGTTACGTATGGCAGCTGGGTAGCCCTCTACAAGCTGTCAACGGCGGCCTTCTGCCCAGGAGCACTCCATCTCCGTCAGAAACATAAACAGCAACGAGACAGAGGAAGTGACGGACTTAGGCACGAGTTGATGGGGCTTGGGAGTTGAGGTCTGGACCTACTAGTGAGAGTAGGGCTTTTAGTATATTCCAGGTGCAGAACACGATTTTAACATGGAGGTTCTCTGGTACTGTTACCAGGTCCTTGCACTATTTGCGCTAGGGTTTGTTTTTCGTTTGTCCGAGCTGGCTGTGGCATTGATCCGGAACTTGACTGCACAAATCTGACATTCACCTTTCTGACTCGTTATGGGTTGGTAAGTAAGTGAGCAGCAGAAGGCAGATCCTGAACGCTATATACACGCTACTGTGGCAAGGCGGGTGTTTCTCAATAAAGCGGTCGTCACAATTTAGGGACCCAAAAGGCAATCCAGGGTTTCCTGAGATATATGCTCTTGACGCAGGCAACCCTGCTTTCTGTGTTGATCCCCACAAAAAGCCAGCCTAACTTAAATCAGACATCCAGGAGAGACTTCTGCATGTTGCTCTTTCATGGTGCCTTCTAACCTCGCTTGTTCGTACCTGCTACTACAACTACCACTACTGCTATTGAACTATTGCGACCCCAACACCTACTTTTCCGGCAACAATAACCACTTCTACCGCCCTTGTAATACTAGTAGTGCTGCTAGTACTAGTGCTATTGCTATTCCTCGTCTTCTTCCTCTTCCTCCACCTCTTGCCGCTACTACTATGCTGTTAACTGATCGTAGGGTTGATGCAAATCCCCTAAATGAGGGAACAGCAGGAAAGTACTGTAATTCAGGTCCTTGGAAGGGTCAGCCGGAAAACACGTTATTTTTCAGATAGGCAAAAGCCCTGACGAACTTCTTGTCTACTACGGTCGGTTTTGTAGGGCACGTGTCAAAAAATCGATCGTGGTGTCTAAGGGGCTGCGCACAAGCAACACCAAAGACAGCAATAAGCTCTTTGACGCCCCCAAACCGCAAACCATGCGTTCTTGTAACACTAGCGTCATCATCTTGGCCAGCATGGTACCACGAATGTTGCCTTATCTTGGCCAGCATGCTCGGGGAATCCCTACTGCGCTCCATGGCATGGCCTGGACGCGAGCGCCACTTTTTTTTTGGGTTTGCTAGGGCTGCGGCCGTGAATTCAGCGAACTGAGCATTTATCATCGCGAATACGAGGATCCAATTAGAGCGTATCCCCATCCCACTACTGCTGCTACTGCTACTACTACTGCTACTGCTACTGCTACTGCTATTACTACTGCTACTACTGCTGCTACTACTACTAGTACTACTACTATTACCACTACCACTACGACTACGACTACTACTACTACTACTACTACTGCTGCTACTATGATCGCCGCCGCTGCCGCCGGCCCCACCACCCCGCCGCCGCCGCCGCTGCCATGCCTACTGCCTAAGCTGCGGCTGCCGCTGCGGCCGATGCGATCACGGCAGGGACGACAACAACGACGTATTCTAGAATCATGAGCCTGCTCATGCAACATGACTTTCCTGTTGGTATCATGGCAATTCAATCCCTTTCCCTAACCGTACTTTTGGCACGGGAATATTGGAGACAGGACGTACAGAGGTGAGTATGTATTACTCGAGGTGATTAATCAGTCCTCCCCTGTACGCATCGCCAGACCGGTTCAAGATGAAGATTTACAATTTCCTCGAGAAGCCACGCTCATCCACACCGGCGTTGGTCTGGTTGCTGGGCTCAATTCTGCAGCCAGCGTCTGTTTTGTACATATATGCATATATGCATGTGTCTATCTCTCTTTATATATATATGTAAATATGTATGTGCTATCTTTATAGCGGTTGCTCCTCCTTGCGCTAGTCCTCAGGCACAGAAAAATCCAAAAAACCTCTGCAGGAGACGAGGCTAAGCCTCCTTGATTTTGAGTCTGGCAGGCAGGCGCAAGGCTCTTTGTCCATGTGTGTGTTTTGTGTCAACGGAGCGGAGCTGAACAGGTGGGGGGCTGTCAAAGGGTACTTTTCAAGCATGAGGCAACCCTGAACATGGAGAGGGCCCTGGAAGAGCGCTCAATTTTGGAAAGTCGGCAGGGATGCGTGAAATTACGTAATCTTGGCTCTCGCAACTTCACCAAAGCGCTTGCAGCAAACAGCACCTTCCATGCGGCGAAGATTGCTGCAAGGTGAGGTTGGGCCGCCTGCCTGCCACTAAAGCCTGAACACTGCTACAAGCCAGGGAACTGCAATTGATCAACATGAAAAATCCATGGTGTTGTATTTTCGTGGTATGACACGACTCACGACTTGTAGGTATGTTGCCGATTGATAACGTGCTTTTCAACGAACACCCTTGCCAACTGCAGGTTTTATGCTGACTGCATCCTCGTCATTCTTTGTGCCTTGGTGGGGAGTCTGGAGTCTTCCTGGTTTCCTGGAACTTGGAACTGTTTGTATGTTTTTTCTAGTACCAGACAACTGGTCACTTGATTGGTCTTCAAAGGGTTTGAATTTAGGGGTATGCGAGGTGGGGTTTCAGGGTAAGGCAAATCCGCAGTCACAAATTCATAGCAGCGGTGATGGCGGCATGCTGTAACTGGGCGAGACGTACCAGGACGTACGTGGACCAACTTATCGAATATTTGAGAATCACTGTTTATCTGGAGTGTTGTTTTGGGTAACTGTTGCCTGCTCATAAGCCAGATTGCAAGCCACCTGAACCCTACATGCAAAGTCCTGCACTGCTGGTACAGACTTCATCTCACGCGTCTGTCCTTCCTGAGTCCTCGGCTTCATCGCGGATGCAGCTAGTAGTTTAGCTGAACTCCCGTACACTAGACGTAGTTTTCATTTGAAAGTCTCCTTCTAGAAAGGTACCGGGAAGGGGAGCTGCAATTTCAGCTGCTTCTCATCTACAAGTAGCATGTTTCGCGTAACTTGTAGGGAGTACTTCTCGACTCCAAACCTTGAGTTTCTGAAGTCGAGCACCAGAACTTCCAAATCCGAGCTTGAGGTTTGCAGGCCCGCCCGAAATCTGTGTGACACATAGTGGAAAAGGAAATCCGGGACGGATCTCCTTCTGTTTCTTCTTCTTTCAAACCTTCTTCAGGGCTCCTTAGGAGTGTCCATTACCGTATTCCGTGCCTTATCTTTCAGCCCCTTGCAACGAAACTTTTTGTTCTGCCGCTTCATATTTCAGGGAGCGCAGACTTGGAAGCGATAATAATACCAGTAGAATTCTCAGACGGCGATTTCTGCGAATCATGCTGCCCCATTTCACACATTTTCAAAATATTGGAGTTCCCATCAGAAGGGCCCGCCCAAAGGTATCTGGATAGCCAAGGAACTGCTACATACCATCCCTTTAGTATACTAACTGCTACATACCATCCCTGTAGTATACTCCAAATCAACCTTTACGAAGCCTCATAATACAGATGCACATACACGCACATCTAACACAGCCTTTCACGAAGGGCACAAAATTGAATGCCGAGGTGTGGTGAGCCTTGTTGCCGAGCCCTTGGTGCTGGTCGTTTATCCAGATGCTCGGCGGCTGTCTGTAAGGTTAGGTTTTGGAGTGGCACAGTACTCCCCCAACCGAGGAAAGGGTACTGGGGTTTCATTCAAACTGTATTTGAGCAACACAAGCGGGCGGTATACCACTCACCCCACATGTAGTGTTTAAGGATTAGCGTTTAGAGTCGCCCAAAGATGCACAAAAGAGGGATATCCTGAGTGGTGCTTACATATTCTGAAGATGCGGATGCCTTAAGGATCAGGTTGTAGTGTTGCCCCAGATTTGGTTTACGGGAATCTACCTTGTTTGTGACATCTCTAACCCTAACTCCTTGGAGCGGTGAAAAAGATCTTATGTGGGAGCTTTGCATGCAAGGTTCGCGTAGGTGCGCCCGGAAGTGTTACTTCTGCACAAGTTTGCGTCGGTTCGTCTTGCT